TCCTTTTATTCCTGAGTTCTAATGTCTGAATTCAATCAACCAAAGAGGTTTGCTCTCGTATCGTTCTCATAGGAGTTCTAATGAACTAAAATATCTAAGATCAAGAATGCCTGTAACTAAGGAAAGGGATTTTGGAATTGCAATATTTTTCCAGCTATATGATTTATCAATCTAATTTTCTATATTTCTCTGAATCACGACTTATTTTTTCCCGTGATATCTGCCATTTTATTTTGTCTCTGTATTGTTTGGTTTACATAAGGATAATTTTGAATTTTCTGTGTATTGGTAGGATTGCCCATTAGTATAAGCCTTGGTGTCGGGTTTGTTATCTTGATAGTTTTCATGCAGTGTGGGATCACCAGATCACCGACTTCCTTTGTTGATTTTATGCCTATTGATGGCTTTGAAGTGGATTCGTGTGGAAGATATTTCAATTCGTTTCTTCATATGATTAAAATGCCGCAATGTATTTGGGCATTTTCGGACAGGGATTATTCACGACTTTATTTATGAGTTACTGCGCTTCCGGTGTTGTATCTGACGGTTTGCTTAGCATCGGTCGGCTTCAAATTCATTTGAGTTTCAAGTCTTCATATATTAGTCCTGGGTACTAACAGATGCAAAATGATAAGTTACTGAGTGACATCGTCCTGACGGGATTTTATGTCATTGAGGGCGCTGCTGACGAAATTATTAGTGCATCCCTACTAATTCTTTCTAATGATGGAAAATATGTTTTTTACAATGCATATTAAAATTCTTGGTAAAATTAAAGTTTTCAGTCTCGTACTTACTGGATTAGCAAATACGCTGAATATCGAGGACTCCATTAACATTCTCCTTGTTGATTTGTATCTATAGCTGTTTAACTAAAATTATGGTGTTAATGGGAAATCGACTGGCTCAATCGAGCTTCGATTATAAAGCTTGGGTTGTTTTGAAAGATTTATGTAACTTAGTAGGTCGGAGATGCATTATGCTTTAGTGTCTTTGTTTCAACAGCAGTGAATACAGACAGAAAGTCAGTGTTGAGTCGAAAATAAACTCGTTTTGAATGTACTGGTACTTGTTGTTCAGTGTCCTTTGATCTTTTATCTGGTACTCGGAGTTAGCATATACAGTAACTGTGAGCGTGCACCAGTATTATTGGCGTATGGTATATTTACCATTATTAATGATAACCAAAGTGAGTATTTTCTAAATCAATAACCCCTAATGCGTCTAGTGAACAATGAGAAATAATTGGGCAACAGCTTATTAGCTTTCTACTAAACGCTGTATTGACCAGTAATGAATGAGTTCCGTGCCCCTAAGGTATATGACTCAAATCGCTATTTAATGACGCATACTGATTCATATAGCTAAAAAGTAAAGTGATTCGGTAATCTAAGGTTTGGAACTAATTTGAAAAAGAGTAAATATCTAAAATCCATACGGTACACCTGAAAAGGAAATTGACCACACAACCAATTTGTAGACACGAGACTGAATACAGGTAGATCACAAAAATATGAATAACGAGAATATTAATAACCACCAAACTAATCATTTTTTATAGAATAACTCTTTGCCTAAAGAAGTCAGAATGCTACCCTACAGAATAGTCAACTTTTACATACTCAAAGGCAACGAATCGAAACCGTGAAATAACAAACAACTAAATTATTAGGAGCAGTAGAGGCTGATGGCCTGTCAATAATAGGCATTCTCAGCTAACTGGAAGAGCAGTTTACTTCGAAAAAACAGTTCGAGTCAATTAATTTAAGGAAGTTGTGGTGTTTGAATGAACTAATGATTCTTTTTTACTTGTTGAATGCTTGATTTCGAATTCTAAATACAATACATTCGTTTGTGCTTGTGTCTTAATTCTTAATTCAGTTGCGTTATTTCTGGGATTCTTAGTTCTTACAAGAATTCAAGTAATTCAAATATTATACTGGCGTCACGATGGAGCCTGCGATGGAAAAGTTAGATATTCATTCAACTTCTGAGGCTCTTGAGGATTATTTTGAAAGGTTCGAAATCTGGGTTATGACCAAGGAAGATGATGAGGATGTTAACATTGTGGCACATTTCCTCACATTCATTGGAAAAGAAGCGTACAGCTTATTAGGAATTCTGGCTATGCCGAAAAAGCCTATCTCGCTTCCTTATACAACTCTCAAGGAACTGCTGCTAGACTATGTTAATTATACAAATTTCGAATGCGGTAAAGGAGGGAGATCTCGTAAAATGACTCATGAGGATATAAAAAATTCCACTACATTGCTACGTCATCCCGACCCAGTGCATACTCAAGGTTATGCAGATAATTCATTGAGGAGTTGCAATGCATGTACAAATTTAGTCAGTGTTTGTCCTGTGGCAAGTTCCAATCTTTTAATTCATGTAAATTTCGTAATTCTAAGTGCTTTAAATGTGGTGATACTGGACATATTCAGTCAGTTTGTAATACTAATGTTCATCTCATTGCAACTAATATTATGTCTTGTAATTCTGATTCCATTAAGTCCAGTGTTCCCAATGATCATTTATCTTTATCAACGATTTTAAAAGACAGTGTAGAGTCATGTAGCAGTTCAGAGTTAAATGAAACTCATAATCCATATGAGACAACAGTTTCTAATCAATCGACTTATCAGATTTCTCATGTTATTGTACCAGATATGGTTTTTCCTAATGATACACTTATTTCTGACAAATGTCCTTGCATATCTGAGGAAAATATGTTGAATGAACCTAGTCATGATCGAAAACCTGATGTAGTTTTGATAGATGCTGACTTTTCTAATGATCCATTAATGTGCAATGGCATTCTTAATAAATTTCATGAAAATATTTCAGACGAGTCAAATCCTGATGTCATATCATATATTACCTATCCTCACAATGCAATTGCTCTTTGTGAAAAACTTGTTCAATGCAAAGCACGAGTACTAAATGACCTCGATTTTCATTACAATTCGGATGATTTCATATCAAATGCTGTTTATCCTTGTCACAAAAACACTTCTAATGTTTACTCTAGTCAATGCGATAAATATGTTTTAAATGAAGCCACATTATTCATAACTTGGGGATATAAAGATCCAACATTATTTCGTGGGGAAGGATAGTGTTGAAAAATCTATGGTTCGAATTCTAGATATTAATGATTCCGGTACAAAACCGACATGCTGATTGTATACAATTCCAGGTGAGTTTGTTCCGACTTCGTCTGTTAATTCCAATACTAATGAGCACATTCTAGATAACACAAAGATTTTATCCAATGCAATGTCGGACAGACTCAGGATGAACTTAACGAGAAGACGTAAAACCGATTACAAACACTTATACTCCTATTTAAGCTGTGGCAGATGTGATGTTTGAATGAACTAATGATTCTTTTGTACTTGTTGAATGCTTGATTTCGAATTCTAAATACAATACATTCGTTTGTGCTTGTGTCTTAATTCTTAATTCAGTTGCGTTATTTCTGGGATTCTTAGTTCTTACTAGAATTCAAATAATTCGAAATATTATAGAAGTGTAGCCAAAGAGCGGCAAATTAGTGTGTAATTAGAGACCAAGTAAAGCAACGTTACTACCATCATAGGATAATAAAATACAAATAACAATAAGAAACACGAATATGAGTGAATCTCAACGCTTTTATCGTGCATCAAATAATAATCAGGATGGATGAGTGAGACGGGAAACTTTGTAATCCGTTCACAACCATCCTTGTTTTTACATGTTGAACTATCTGGAAAAAATCATTTTTGACCTTGTGATGAACCTGTTTGAGAGTTTGGTCAAGATGAGATAAAATGCAAATCAAGGAATAATATACGAAGCAAATTTTAGTGCGCAGGAGTGCAAGTATGTAGACTGAAAGGATCGTAAAAATAACACTCATAATAAAGTTACACATCGAATGAAAAAATGGAAACATATAGCAACTCTCCTGCAATCAGCCTCGATTATAGTTACATTTTGTTAAACCCTTTTATCAAATTACTCAACAAACAATGTTATTCGAACAATAATAACTCATTTATTTCTTTGCACTAATATTACCACTATCTCGTCAGTATAAACGTATACGCTTGATTATATGACAGCCAGCGCACCTATCTCTCTCTAGCTAAAATGTTGATAGCTTAAATATAGCCCGATCAGTCATTCTCTTCTCCATATACATATGCACTAGAATCCTATTATTTAGCTTTACTTCGCCTTGCTATGCCCTTATTTGATTTGACTATAAATTCGCCTCTGTATTTGCTCGCATACACACACTCACCTCTCTGCTTCCAATTCTCTCGAGGTGCCTGTGGCATTGTGATCTGTGCTATCCGCCTCCTGATTTAAAACACCGTTATAATTTATATAATAACAGTTGTCAAGGTGATTGATTAGCGAAACTAAGCCACTACAAACAACAGTCATGCAGTGTATGGTATTTGGAAGTTACTCTTTGGATAACCACTACAAATGGAGATGAATAAATTCTTAAATATGTTATTGCACCTCTGGTACCGACGGCATAAAACAAGAAAAGCTAGCCCAATGATTTTTTATTGGTTCCGACGGGAAACTCCACATAGTGTAGGGTCACATAAAAGAACATAACAACACTGTTTACTTTCTTAATCACTGAGAACGATGTAAGTATTATTGATTTAGATGTCAAAAGTAACAGAAATATCCGTTAATTACCGAAGGAGCTCATTCACAATTTAACATATCCTTGAATACGCAAGACAGTATAGCATTTCAAATTACCAAACATTTTAAAGTCGTTATCTATACCTTGATTCCTACCTGAAGGTATCGGTGACCTCCATCTACCAGATACGGAAGCCGATTAAACGAAAGCTTATAATCCGTTCAAACTATCCTCTATAAGCAGAAAGTAAAATTCAAGAAAAAGTTTTGAATCTCTTAGACTACGAAGTGTGAATTTTTGTTATAACCCATCACCTGTGTTTGCGCGAGCGGCATTTTGAGTTGATTTAGTAGTATTAGGAATCATTACATATGAGGTTGCTAACGTGAGTCTGTTTTTCTTATTGCAGGGCAGCAAATGTAATGGAAGCCATATTTAAGCTGGCCCTGCAGAATGATAGATAATTCTATTTTGTAATAGATTTTCTCTTTTTTCTACACGATCCAAATCTTTGAATTTTCGAAATATATGTTGTACTAGTACGTCGCGTTCTTACTACAGAGTCATTTAACGATTGGACTGTTGTGTTGTTGTTTCAGATCGTTTCCGCTTCCAAGTAGACGCTAATAATACGCGCTGCAGTGATGCATAATTTAGATTTCGACTACGAAGAGCCGGTTGAAAAGCGTTTTGAAGACCTCTGTCAAGATTTATGTATAGATGGATCTGTTAGAGAGGAAGCTTGGGAAAAGTACAAAGGTAACTAGATAAATTGTTTTGATTTAACAAGATGTTTGGGCGAATTATTCGATTGATGGTGATCAAATCCAGTGGCTTGTTTGTTCTCTCTATGAATGTTGTCGCCGTTGTCTATCAGACGGAATTTCTGGACATGTCGATAACGCCTATATATCTCTGTCACGATTGTTATCTGCAGCTAAAATGAGTATGGTTCAGGTATGTTCCTCTTACTAATTAATCTGCACAGTTTTTTCATCGTATTAGGAAATGGGCTGACATGACTGATATGCTGGATGATATGAGAGATCGCATCGAGCTCATTGAACGTCAGTTCTCCGTTTCATCAGTGATATTTCGTAATTTCGGTCGATCGTTTGGGGTATTATTTTCTGACACAGATTATGAGACCAGTCAAAGTAAGTTGTCTTTCACCTAGATTCGCACTTCGTTTGTATAACTTAAAATGTCCTCATATATTAAAAACCTGTGGTTCGTTTTTTTGGCTACATGTTGGGGGAAAACTTAAGAAATTAATCCAACGAAATCATACTGATATCTTCAGAATACTCGTAACGGGTTCAAACACCTACCTAAACCTGATAATTGATTTGGAAATCTTGTATAAACCGTCCAGCAAATTCATAGACTGATTCCACATCTTAGTTTTCCCCCAACTTACGTTTACGGCATCTAACGTTATTTGTCGAGGTTACGAATGGTTAGGCGTCAATAACGCATGTTCTAACCACTTCAGCCGATAAATATTCACGGTTTTATCAACTGGCTTACTGTCTTCCTAGAGTCCCCTGTATTCAACATTTGCACTACTCATTCAGCTATATATATGTATATATATAATAATTTTATCTTCATACAGTCATTTCAAAGACTTCCTTTGAAAAGGTTTGCACATTAAATGCTTCTAATAAACAATCTGTGACCTTATAAATTGGTTCTACGTCTTAATCTGACCATGTTCCTCTTGGGCCACGTAATTGTACTTCATCTTTCAAATAATACGGTTATTTGATAAAAGTAACACTAAGTAAACCATGACTTAGTCACCTCGTCACAAGTTTACAATCTCTCTCGTCTTACTTCTAGTATTGTACGCTCAACGATTCCACTTTGCACCTATTTGCAAAACAGATCATATCAGAGCAGAGTTTAAGCATCCTCAAAATTTAGCGTCCTTAAGTCCCCTCAGCACAACCGAAATTTCATCTAAATCTTCACCATCGTCTAGTGGGACTTGATCATCTGTTTTCTCGACTAATCACAAGATTCGTAACATAGGCACGAGTGAAGTTGGAGCTAAAGTTATCATCCTGATCATCATGTTTATGTTATTTAGAAGTATTAACGACGAGCATCCTCGTCAAACATCTACTTATCACTTCAAATATTTTACTTCTCTAAATTGACTTATCAGTAAATCATTTAATTTATTGTTCAAATGTTGGGAATTTCTGTATAGTAGGCGATGTAGTTCTATTTCGTAGACTTAAATCACTTTATTGTGCTGCGTTTTATATATTACTTTCTGCTTTTTTCATGATCTCGACTTGTTTCTCTCTATCGTTTCCCTTGTTAATATCGCCGTCTTTTTACAAATTTCTCTTTCTATTGATTTGTCACTACGTTGTTTGTGTTATATACCAACTTTAACTAATGCACCCATCAGTATGCATTATGGAGAACTCATTTAATGGCCTTGAATGTTTAAGTTGTATATGAACAATTGTTTACTTGTGCCGATTCTTTTCTGTTTTTATCATTTCAGTGCGCCCAACGGGTTCTGACTTATTCAGGTTTACATGGCTGCTATTCATCAAGTCTCGAGCAAGTTTTCCAGCAGTTACCGATGATTTAGTCAATTCCTATCACTTACTAGCCTGCTGTTTGGACTGGACTCTTGGTGCAGTTATGCTTTCCAGAAGACGAGATTTGATCAATATGGAGCAAAATGGTTTGCCTAGGGATTTTTTAACTTCAGTTGCTCAAAACAAAACTTGGTGTCCACCTCATGATGAGCCAACTTGTATGCTACGTCCAATATGCGAAGATAATGATGTTAATTATGTTGAGTGTAAAACTGTGAAAGAACACTTTTTTCGACCATTTATGCTAAGGTTGATTGAAAAGGTTAGTATTATTTATCTCAGAAGTTATGCTTTAGTGCATACCTATTTCAGAGAATCAATTTTGAGTACAGTTAAATATTTAAGCGATTGCAAATGTATTTAGCTCAGGCTGGACTTGCCGTGTGATATAATATTTCAAAGATAAAAGTATTTTCAGTTATTAATACATCATATAGCTTGATGTGCAAAAATAACAGTCGCCTAATTGTACTGAATAATATAAATACTTTTGTTATGTTATATTACTAAAAGATTTTGGACTTATGTAGTTTACTAAGTATATCGTGAATGTACATCGAGTATGGATTTTGAAATTTACAACTCTGAATGTTATATTCAGTGGTTTTCTCTTCTTTGAGCGAAAGTCATGAATTTTGATGCTATTCTAAATAATTCATAAAATTAAACTTACAGTTGTGCATTGCAAATTTTCTGATAGTAAACTAGGCAAAATTTGATTTTAAAATGCTATTTTTCATTTGAGAAGTATTATGTCCTATGTATACCCAGCCATCGCCTACCTCGATGGCCAAACCATATGGACAAGTGTAGACTATCTAGTTAGGCCCCAAAATGCCCCGGTACGGTCGAGGGTAAGGAAAGTTCGCTCTCTCTTGAAGTGCTCTCGTAAGTTCACGAGTATACAGTCACTGCCAGAAAAGTCCTACTCACTGCTTTCTCGTGGTAAGGGTGTTGTTTACGAAATTGAGAGGATGAAAACCGAAAGTCCAGCGCTTCAACCAGGTTGGTGGTCACTGGCTACCATGAGACTGCATCTTTTTACGTTGCTCCACCGCCTTGTGGATTAGACCTTTATATCAAAGGCTCCGGGTGTGATCCCGCTAAGAAGACCACCTGCTTCGGTTTGGGCGCCCAAGTAGTATCCCAGCCCTCACACAAATCGCATGATTTATATGGCGCATATCTATTTGGTGCCATTTTATACCAATGTTTGTATGTTTAAATGAATAGGTGTGTTGGAGTCCATAAAATAATAGCAACCAGTGTTTGGAGATGTTGAATGGGGGACAGATGCATACACTCTATATCGTCCCTTAGATCTTGTGCTTTGAAACTCTTATACTTTTTATCCCACTAGTTCATTCCCGAACCATGCTGTCGATGACTAATGTTTCTACTTCCATTAATACTCTGGCATTTGTCTTGACAATTTCATCTCACTCTGCTGATAGTGTGTCAAGTCAAACTGCCCCACTTCCTACTTTGCCCATGATTAACCGACTGGCTGATTCATTGTAAGGAAACGAAAAATATATGGTAGCTTTTGATGGGCTTTGCTAAAGAAAGTTAAATACAAAAATAAATGGTATTTTCAAGAAAAAATTCCTACATACTATGTTATACGGAATATTCACTTCCTAATTATAAGTGGATTGTCATTACTTTCACGTACGTTGATCACATAATGATTCAAGAACGTCAGTTGGAATTGTTTAAACGGTGCATATTTGTAAATTGTTAGACTCTATAGTTTTTTTGATAATTGTCATTTCCATGGAACAGTTTATACAGGTCCTATATTCTGAGCGCAAATTGTTTACTTGTTTCATTTTTTTAAAGATCCAAGTAGCCTCTCACTTGAGTGAAAATATCTAATCTGCCATTTCATTTGCGTAACGTTTTCATGTCTACTGTTTAGTCCTAGAAATATGTTTTCAAAATGTGTTGTACAATAAATGCAGGCGTTTGCGATATTTTTTTTAAGGATTTGATCAAACTTCACCCTTCAGTTCTTGGGAGTTTATTAGAGCAGGAAAATTTCGAAATAACAATTCAGAATTTGAACAATAACTATGAGGAATACATTATCGGTACGGGGGACTTTGATGAACGTATTTATCTGAGCCCGAATGCATCAGAAGAAATTGGATCAATCGGGGAAAGTACTGTTCAGTCTGATTTTCATCTACCTGTCGGTCTGACACCATCTGCGCGCCGATATATGCTCGCAAGTTATTTATTTTTTGACTCGTTCATTCTTAGTATGCCTCTAGTTTAACATTTCAATGTTTTAATTATGTAAAGGTCTGATTATTTTTCTTTTTTTGACATAAAGGGCCAGTCCCTGTTAGTATATACGCATCCTAAGCGGATTACTTCGATGATAACGAAAATATTTGTTACTCTGACTCATAACTCCTTCTTATAACTTACATTATATCTATAGGATTTAATTTTTCACTTTGTTGTAATAGTTTTCATTCTTATGTTATATTTTAATTGCTACTGAACTTGTATATTTGATCAATTTCTGACGCTTATTCGTCATAATCATAAACCAATAATTAATTTACTTTGAAGTGGTTTGGATTATCCCGTTGTTAATATTCTTGACTGAAATTTGGTTAGTCCTGATAGGTATATGAGCATTCTTTGCAGATTGCCTCAGTATAGCCATTATGACAAGTTCCACTGCTAACAACATTCCATCTATTTTATATAACTCAATACATATTCAAATTAACGTACAACGCCCATGAAGTACTATACTGGTTGAAGTTCATGAATGTCAGAATTTGATATTTACAAATGAAGTTAGTCATTTAACATTTTATAAGCCTATCGGCGTACCAGTTTGTTAAATTATTATTTCCTACCACAGAGGTCTTGACGTAGTCAATGCTCAATTGTGAGTATTGATTTAGCTTAATTATGTAACGTCTCATTTCAAAAGTTGATTACCTTTTTTTTACATCTGATATCATCTCTACTTCTGTTGAACAGCGTAGTATGCTTTGTATGATATTTATGGCAAGCATTTTCCAACTGAACTAAATATCCATATGATATCATATTGTTAAGTGAAAATTAGTGCAGATAAAACTAAAGATATTCATTTGATTTGCTTTTTAAAACTAGCTAGTTGATTCAAATTTATAAACATGATGTTTCATTCTAAATAGGATTGAAATAGCACTTTTACGGAAACTTGTTTAAGCATATCAATTGTAATACGGTAGCGAATGCTTTCTATTTCTCAGACGTTCTGTTTTCTCTAAATTACTTAACTATTTGTTCTCATTATGCTACCTTTTATTCACGTTTACTGATTTTAATTCATAAAATAATGATTTTTAACTCGTTTTTTATATTTTTCCGTTGTGTTCTAAGGAAGTTAGTAACTCTGGTTTTGGAGGTTTCACTGAGACTACGCGGCGTGGTAATGCGAATGCTGGTGCTATCAGTCGTCTTAATGGGGGTGTCAATTTTAGCAATCCTGAAGCTCGAAGTCAAAATCTCAATCAATTACAAGTTTGTTTGGCTTACAATAATCATAAACTGAGACATTCTTGTATTTTATTTTGTCTATCAATTAGACGACAATTTTCCTGACTAGAAGTCCCCTCTGTTTTATTTTATGGCCATTATGTTTGGCTCTTGAAAGTAGAGGATAGTCTTATATTACTAGTGTCTGAAAAATTTCTCATGTATGTTAGGATCACAGAGTGAGCGATGCTAATGGCAGATTGATTAATGATGTAGTGGGTCTCCATCTACTGCGAGGTGGTCGTGATGTTTTACTTATATCCAACCATCGCTTATCTCGAAGGATCATCTGTTGCTGTAGGAGTACGTTAGAAGAAGGTTTGGAACAGACAATCCGAGACGTGGCATCAGTCCACGAAGTTATTGATTATTGGTCTGAGCCACTCTAATAGATCCAGAAAATCTAGTTGAGGTCTACATGATTATTGTAGATAGTAGTTAGAAACTGTGTGATGTAGCTCAGAATAGTTTGTAATGCTATAGGTCACTCGAGGTGAATCTTTTGTTTCTAATCTTTTCCATTAACGCTAACATCGTTACTACTGCTACCATTGTTACATTTCACTGCTAATGGTGTATGGCAGCTTAAACCGATGTATATATATCCTAGAGTTTACATTTAGAATTTTTACAAGGGTATGTATAGTTTCACTTTCATGAACAAGAGCTCTTAAGCTCCAAAGGCGTTAAACCATAGTATTTTTTAGAAATAAAGTTGCCTTAATTACTTATCCTAATATAAATATTAGTGTTTTATAGTTCGTCAACTTCTGTTCAAATTTATTTTTTATCCATTTCTCTTCTAGAAAGTTGTATTTAGTTTGACAGTAGTCACTACTCAATAATCAGACTATTGCAAGTATCTCGGTCTTACAGGAAACCAGACGGGACTCGGATGGTATCATGTTAACATCTTGGACTGCATATCTGAGTAGTGTGTTCGTATCTCACAATCAGCCTTCGTTTTCTTAAAGAATTACTTGCCTATCAGAGAACGGCACATTGTTCCGAATGCAAATATATAATAAAATATGGATTCAAAGACACTGATGAAGTCTCAACAAGTCATTGTACTAGTAGCTATGCAAGCACTGTTGTTCTTGTCTAAATTTGAGAAAACAATATGCATCAAGTGGTTAATGGGAAATCGATATTAAAAAGAACTATATATAGTATTAGTTACTTATGAGTAGTATAATCAGATAATAATGCATAAACTCTTTCAAATTTGTTTCCATAAACGGAGGGCTTTGGAAGTTAATCATTGGTCTTGTTGCAATTTTGGTAGCTCAAGCAACTGGTTAGTGGTATTGTTAACACTGCAACCCGGTGCATAAACTTGTATACTTGTTTGGACAGTTGCATAGTTTTTTGTCGAAACGTATGTAGGACTGTAAAAACATAACATAAAACAGATGACGACAGATCAACTTTTTTCCTTGCAGGTCACAAATTGCTGATCTGTATTTTCGCATGCAGTTACGAACCAATGAGGTTTATAAGCTTAAACTAATCGCACTTATCAGTGACCAGCAAACAAAACCCAGTCTTCTGTAATTTATATATAAAGCTACAAATAAAGGTGTATTATCAAATGAGTATTAATTATCTTGTCGTAATCTAAAAAGGTGCATTATGCATGCTACTTAAGTTGTCTTGTTTTTTAGGCAATTTTCAACCTGGGTCGACAATATCGACGTTTTTTTATAAAACATGCCTATGTACTATTTATATATCAATAGTGTTTGCTCGCTTATACGCATTGCACAGCAGTGGAATTTCTTGTTTCACTTTTATCAACAAAAGAAGCGTTCATGCAATCAAACAAATATTATTTTTAATAATTTTTTCTCTGTACAGATTTTGTTAAATGGTCGAAACAATGAGCCATGTGAATCTTTAGTCCATCTTATCAATGCACATTGTTCTGTATCACCACTCTCTACAATTCGTGAAAGATTAGATAATTTAGGTGAACAATTTCAACGAGCTTATGCTGGATTAAAATCAATCAATAGTAGTGGAGTAACAATAACACCAACAGCGAATAATTTAGCAATTTCAGCTGCACAACAACGACTACAATTATGTTATCCATTATATTACATGGCTTTAGAAAATATTCTCTTAGATGAAATTCGTAGAATCGAAAAGAAACTGGTTACTACTACTCCCACTCCACTCTCCAGTTCAAATAATTCAAATAAAACACGCCGTACCCATCCTGACCTTACCACATTATTAGCACAAGATACATTTCATCGGGCTTTATTCATTTGTTGTATGGAAATAGTTATGGTGAGTTGTGATCCACCAAACCACCATTTTCCATGGATATTAGAAGCGTTAAGTCTTGATTCAGTTCAATTCTTTAAAGTAAGCATCATCAATATTTTATGTATTTTAGGAGAAACATTTTTTTTATTAATTTTTACTATATAACTAGTTTTCTTTTTTAAGTTTCTTAAATAATCCAGTAGGTTATCAATTAAGCTCATTAAAAGGAACACCTTTGACAATTTTTTTCCAATCACTTGATGTGCGGTGTATCTTACTTATGTTGGCGGATATAATTAGTATGTAGCACCAGCCGGAAGCAGAATGCCTGTCAACAGAACATATAGAGGATTGAATTGAAGAGAAAAGGAAGGAAAATAGAGAGCGATTGTAATAACAGAATTGAAAGAATCATGAAGTATGTAAAAGACAACTGAAGTAATATGTGCACATGATGTATTTAATGTATGATTTTCATATCTTACTAATCCACTATGTGATTTTGCATTGAATAATAAATCGGTCTTCCCCACCTGAGTTCTCGTCACTACAAATGTACTACGGATACCTATTCAAACCAACCACGAAGATGATAAACAGTAAAAGCATCTAAATACAAAGTAATTAAAAATTTTACACAACGACCGCATACAATTACTTACACCTGTTACTCCTCATGGAGCAACATAGGCCGCCCACCAGCATTCTTTATCCAACTCTGTCCTGGACAATCCTTTTCATGTCTGCTTCCGATTCCCGACGCAGTGTGTTTTCTGGTCCTTCTCCTTTCCGTTTCTCTTCAGGATTCCAAGTTATGGCTTACCTCGTGATGCAGTTTGGCGATCTCCTACTGTGTGTCCTATATACTTCTAACGTCTTTTCCTAATTTCCAACTCAGCTGGTTTGTTCTCTCCTACAGTAAACTGTTCCTGATGATATCAGGTCAACAGTCATTAAGTATCTTACGTAGACAATTGTTTATAAATACTTATACTTTTTTGATGATGGTTGTTGTAGTTCTCGAAGTTTCATCTCCGTACAGTAGAACAATCTTGACGTTCTCATTGAAGATTGTGACTTTGATATTGGTTGACAGTTGTTTTGAGTTCCACATGTTCTTCATTTGTTTGAATGCTGCCTTTACTTTACCATTCTTTGCCTTTACGTCTGCATCAGATTCTCCCTGTTTATCGATGGTTCTGCTACCCATGTACTTGAATGTTACCGCATCTCCCAGAATTTCTCCATCAAGTGAGAGTGGGTTGGTGTTCCGTGTGTTTTTCCCTTGTGTATATGGAGGCTTGTTGCTACACCAGCTGTTTGACCTACATTTGTTGATTTGTATCGTTTATTTACATCTAAGCTATCCCTTGTATTCCGTGCTTCCTCTCAGATGTCGAGGTCCTCATAATCCAATCAACCACCAGAAAAAAGAGAAAGAGGTAGAGTAAGCAGCTTTGTCTGACTCCGGTCCTCACTTGGAATGCATCTTTCAACTGTCCTCCATGCACTTTATAGAGCAAGGAAAACAATAGCAAAGCATTCGTGTTCGATAATTATTTAGATTTATGATAAGATTGTCCTATAAAAAAATATAGTTGTTGGTGATGAAACCTTATTACAAAAGCTGATTGGGCAATAATATAAACTTTCAGATAGGAATGTTAGATGGTATATTAGAGAATAATTCAAATAACCGACAACTTTAGTGATGACTGAGGATCCTAAAACGGTGTAATTAGTGAGTCCCGACCGTTGTTGCTACCTTGACGTAGTGGTGGGGCTTGCGTATCGTGATGAAGCCACCGATGTATACTACTGGCCGTTCCTCAAGGTCCCACCATGCCAGACAGGCCGGTTGAAGAGCGGTAAGACTAAAAGCAACAAACCCAAGGTCCGAAGGTGAAGTCGTACTGCTGACTGTACAGAGGTGTGACAGCAGTAAGGTGTTTCCTTCAGACAACCAGCATGACAGCGATGCTGCCTTCCCACAAGGAGGGGTGGGGTTAGAAAAAGTCGACCCTAAAGATGCACACCCCGCCTTATCCCACGGATATCCGTCTCCGGAGGCAAGGTCTCAACAAGTACGGAGCTAACACAAAAACTACCCATAAAAAGGTCGTGTGTGACCGACCTCAAGCAGTTGTCCCTTGGGCACTGCAGTCACGCTCCCAGGTCACTAAGACCGCCTCTAATCCAATTCCCTTTTCAGGTACCTCCAGAACAACCCTTCCACGGTGTGGGCAACCGGGAAGTGATAACCGCCCTCATACCTCTAACAGCACTCAAGACCACTTTATTCATAATCAACCTCCGTCTTCACTTCCTATTATTCCTCCTATATCGGCTTTCACCTCTAAACTTCCTTTTTCGGCTTCCCCCTCAAGTGTCACCACAGTCAACGATTCTAGTGCGCAGAACACTGTCCCAGGTCTACTGAAACCTCGCTCCAAACTACACATTAGAGCCTTCAACGTACGCACCCTATGTCAAATCGGTCAACAGGCTCCCTTGGCTAGAACCCTAGAATCTCGTACCATTGATGTATGCTGTGTCACAGAAACACGCATACAGGAACCCCGTGTGGTCATTCACTTGACCTTACCTCGGCAAAAACGGAGAGCCAGCGCGATACACCCTCCGTGTATCTGGCGACCCGACGACAAGCTCTCGTGGACTGGCAGGAGTAGGGATAGCACTAAGCATGAGGGCGGAACAAGCACTGTTAGGGTGGATTCCCGTTAACAGTCGTTTATGTGCTGTTCGGTTAATTGGCTCCGTAAGAGCTCGGAAGGATAGGGGCACACGTCGTTGCCTTTTTGTCGTTTCTGCCTACGCTCCCACTGACTACAGCTCAGATGAAGTGAAAGATGAATTTTACAGAAAGCTATCTGAACTTCTTCAGAAAGCTAAACGTTCAGACAGTACTCGTAGCAGGTGACTTTAATGCCCAGATAGGTAGTTTAAACCAAACAAAAAGGCATTTAGGTGGGTATTTTAGTATTCCGGCACAACGAACAGATAATGGTGATCGTCTGCTGCAACTGTGCTCAGACAATTGTTTGTTTTTAGCAAACACAGATTTTAAGCATAAGGAGAGACATCGTCTAACATGGCGACCCCCTACACCAAACCAACGATGGACTCAAATAGACCATATTGCCATCAGTCATCGTTGGAGAGGGTCGGTAGAAGATTGTCGCTCATTCTGGAGTACCTGCTTGGATTCCGACCATGCCCTAATACGGGCACGCATCTGCTTGCGCCTCACTGGACGCAAAAAAGCACAGTAAAAAGACCCATTAGAACTGAATTGAGTAGCGAAGAAACCAAAAGTAGGTTCCAGGAACAACTGAGGTCACAATTAGGTAGTTCTGAAGACGAGGCTGACCCAGATGTTGTTTGGAAAGCTATACAAACAGCTGTGGAAACAGCAGTGACATCTATTAGTGACTTAAACCACAGAGTTACAAAGAACCAGTGGATTTCCTCAAGGTCTATTGGACTGATGAATTCTCGTAAACTCATCCCATCAGGCTCTGAATACGATAAAGAGCGACAACAAATCAGATCTAGGTTAACCAAAAGTCTAAGGAACGACCGTGAGCAGTGGTGGGCAACGAAAGCAAGAGATGGAAAAGGCGGCGGCTATAGGGAACACAAGACAGCTCTACAGACTAATAAAAGAAACTGGAATTAATAAGTCAAATGTAAGTCAGACTATTTCGGAAAAAGACGACACCCTCATCTGCTCTCAGTCCAGACGTTTAGAACGTTGGGCGGAACATTTCAGAGAACAGTTCAGCTACTGTACAACTACCCTCCATTCCCAGACAGTGTGAATGGGACAATCACTTATCGTCCCAATATATAGGAGGGGGTTAAAATCATCCTGTGACAACCACAGAGGGATTAGTTTAACTAATATAATATCTAAAATACTAGCCTCGATAATTATCAGACGCCCAACTAAGACTCGTGAACTGCAAACACGAGAGAACCAAGCTGGCTTCAGACCTGGTCGTGGCTGCATCGACCACATATTCACCATTCGTCAGGTTCTATAACATAGGCATACTTATCGGTGTCCGACAATAGTGGTCTTTCTTGACTTAAAAGCAGCATTTGACTCTGTAGACCGCGAGATTCTGTGGCAGTGTCTGTCATTGAAAGGCGTACCCCAGAAGTACATAAACCTTGTAAAGGCTCTTTACTCGAACACTACTAGTCGAGTCAGGGCTTATGGCGAACTGTCACCTACTTTTGCAACCTCAAGTGGTGTCCGTCAAGGCTGTCCACTTTCTCCATTTTTGTTTAACTTCATCATAAATCTATTGATAGAAATAACATTCTCGTCGACTGAATTCTCGGGTATTGATCTCCTAACAGGAGGTCCACTTATCGACTAAGAATACGCAGATGACATAGCCCTGTTTGGTGAAGACGCTGATAGAATGCAGAGTCTTTTGGTAGCACTGAGCAACAATGCCAGAATGTTTGGAATGCGCTTCTCTCCCTCTAAATGCAAGTTGTTGCTTCAGGACTGGACTGCGTCAACACCTGAACTAAGGATAGGGAGTGAAGTAGTCGAACGTGTTGACAACTTCACTTATCTTGGAAGTCTGATCAGCCCTAATGATTTGGTATCGGACGAAATCTCAGCACGGATTCGAAAATCTCGTTTGGCTTTTGCCAACCTACGTCATCTATGGCGAAGGCGAGATATCCGTCTATCAATAAAAAGACGAGTATACTGCGCGGCAGTTCGTTCTGTTTTACTTTACGGCTGCGAAACATGGCCATTAAGAGTAGAAGACATTCGTAAGCTACTAGTATTTGATCACAGATGCCTTAGAAATATTGCTGGCGTCTGCTGGGATCACCGGGTAAGTAATAGTGAGGTTAGACGCAGGGTTTTAGGGAATGATGGTAAATCAGTTGATGAGGTTGTGAATCTTCATCGACTGAGATGGTTGGGCCACGTGTTACGTATGCCTGAACACCGATTACCACGACTTGCAATGCTAACCGGTGTTGGGGATGGTTGGAAGAAAGTTAGGGGCGGCCAAACCAAAACGTGTCAGCAGTGCTTAAAGTCACTAACTTGTAGTTTGAGCCATGTTGGTAGATGCAGACTACTTGGTTGGGGTCCGCGTGACTATCGTAACCAATGGTTGGAGACTCTTGGTGACATGGCTCAGAATCGGTCACAATGGCGTCGGTGTATACATTCTCTGTCTTCCCTTAAACTAAGAGATTAAAATCGCTTCATATTTTTCTTTCTACGAACTAATTCTTTCTTCCTGTACTATATCCTTATGTACAATCTTTCTTTTATATATTACCACCTCTGAATTAATCTTTTTTATGAATCCGGTGTCCATCTTATTGTGTTAGTGAGGTATGGCAACTTGGACCGACGCATATATGTTCCTGGTCCCACGTTGTAGCTGACTGTAATTAGTGAGTAAAATAAGTAGTATAGCTCCTTACAATCTGATTTCATGCTCTTCTGACATATCTTCAATTTTACTCGATTTTTTTCTAACAGTTTTTTTTAAGGACACCAATTGTTACCGTTCATCTCTTATCTAACTTAACGATGAGAATGTTTTTTTTTCTTTAACAGGTCGTCGAAGTTTTAGTTCGTAACCTAGATTTGCCGCGTGAAATTGTTAAATATATGAATCAAGTTGTCGAATATATTCTAGATTCATATGCATGGCGTACAAACTCTTCAATATGGTCGGTACTGAAAGCAACCGGACGAGCTCCATCTATTGAAGAAGTTATACCTCCTGAAAAACTTGATCAAGTAAGAAAAATATTCATTTGATATTACGATAAATTTATAATTATTATAAGGCAATATGTGTGTAGAACAGTGGTCTAGTAATTAAAACGTTTCACTTTCAATTACTAAGTTTCGGGTTCAAACCTCACTCCATTTACTTCACTTTGGGCAACTGAACAGTATTATTAACACTCACACATAATTTGTGCCTTATACTATTCAATGTGTCTGTTCGTTTGACTTTCAACTTACTCCCATGAGAATCTTATTGTTTTCGTGTGTTCATTCTATGTATCCAACCGCAAAAATTATTTCATGTAATTTTACCAATACCTTTTTTCGTTTTATTTATTCTTTTTGGTCTATTTCAAAAAATGTATAAGTAAGTTGTAAAAAGGATTTCTGGCGAGACCACCATTTATGGACGGACCAATCAGATTTACGATAACAGATCTCGAATTTTTGGCGCGAAATTCATTCATCCATTTAGCTAAATAGCATCTTGGCATTATATCTGATGTCAATTCGTGATGAAAACCCTAAATCTAATTTCTAACCCTAACTCAACTGTAAATCATAATCCTAATTCTTCATACTGGTTTTTAACCCTCATTTAGCCGTAGTATGTAGGTAGACATTCTCAAGGTCTTTTTAGCGTCGCTCAAATGTCGTTCATAAATTGTAGTCTCACCGGATTTGTTTCAAGTGAAATTTATTAATACTACATCTTCAAAAAGTTTCCTACTTCTGACTGTAGAGATGGTTTATTGTAGTGGTTCTGATCAATTCGTACTAAATTCTGCTAAACAGGGTTGATTTGCGTCCTTTTTCCCTGTTTTTGAAAATCCCAATAAGTTTAAAGCACAAATATTTATGTATATATAATTTTCATTTTCTATCCAGAAACTATAATTATTTATTATCATTACATACTATTTATTCTGTTGAATTCTTTGGAACTTTAAGTTGTGTATTATAATATTTTTCAAAGATATGCCTAGAATCACCAAACAATTTTTTTATTAATGATTAGTTCAGACATTTAAATTACACGCGTACCAGTAAATTAGGTGTTATAAAACTCAAACTAAATAGTTTATTCATGTTTTTCTCTCTGTAACGTCGTTGGTTGGAACAGGAAATGAAATTATTTTATTAGTTAGGGATTAGTTCAAAGCAGTTACTGATGTAGGTTGGTTTTGTGTAAGTTGTTTTTTTATTGGGGGGATATTACGTCTCCTGAGGGTGAGTATATATTTCGATTCGACTAGTCTAGTCATAATAATTCATAAAATATCTTACTACGGCTAAACATTCTCATTTAAATAACTTGAATTATACGTAGTTTTTTGGACTTTTGTGAAAGTGGCTTAGTAGTTAAAGCGCTCAATCAACACTCAACCAGCAGTAGCAGGTCACGGGTTCAAGCTTTGCCTCTCCTACTTTAATACTAGATTAGTCGAATATCATTAACCGCCGTACAATTTAGTTGTAACTCAATGCTGATTACATAAACCCGTATATGATGATTATTAATATTATTGCTCGTTGATATTTTGGTTACTTTCTCTCACATTGCTTAATTTTCTCTTTATTACATAGGGTTCTAACGATTGTTACACACGAAATACCACTACCATATCTCCTGGCCGAAAATTGTTAACTTCTAATGTAATATCTACCAAAAATATAAAACTCTCACCAAATTCTTATGCTAAACAACCTCGTCTTACAGGTAGTAACAATAGTAATAATAACAGTAATAGTATTACATCTAAAGTATCAGTTAGTCGACAACAAAACATTGAATTTTCAACAAATCAACCTGGTATCTATCGGCTACTTTCATCGGGGGTTGAAGATGAATCTGCTCAAGCAGCAGCTCAACTACTTGCAAGTGGAGCTACTGATTCAGTTAATATAGATTCTGGTCTTCTTGGAACATCAGATGATGTTGGCATCAATCAGGATAATGTGAATATTGATGTGAAACCGATAACAGAGCAGTTAGTTGATGATTATATTGTTAACACCGCAGTTACTGTGACTAGTGCTACTACCACCGTTAATAGTAGTAATAATAGTACTGTTGTTACATCTCTAACGTCTGGTTCCGGCAATACAATTAATTATTTCCCTATTCGACATGATTCAATTGCCATATTTTTTCGACAAACATATCAAATGGCCAGTTTACGTTTAAGAGATTTATGCGAACGTTTAAGTCTTACTCGTGAACTTATGGCAAAAATCTGGACATGTATAGAACAAGTAATTGTGCATGAAACTGAATTGCTTAGAGATCGCTGTATAGACCAAGTTATAATGTGTTGCATTTATGGTATATGCAAACTTGTTCTCTATCGTCCGCTTACATTTGTTGATATAGTTCAGGTAAGTGGTTCAAAGTTGTTTTTTCCTAGATTTCTTGAAGATTGTTATAAGTTATCTTTTATGATGCTAATGATAAACGAATTTAATTAACGGACTACAAATGTTAAGTATGGGGTTGTAGAGATTGTTGAAATAATTAACCAACCTAGGTTAGGCCATCATTGGAAGATAGTTGCACAATGTCGTGCGTTGATTGTTGTTAGACACTAACATTGTTTGATGCCAGCTCACTGGTCTAGATGTTTAGTAGGCGTTCCCGCGTGACGGATCGTGAATGTTCACTACATAAGAGTCCCCAACTAGAACGAGACGGTCGCCCAGTGCTTCCGGGTTTTTATAGGTGGTTCAACTTAGATCAGTTTATGATTCCAATTAAAGTACAGATGTTCAGAATACATAAATACATAAATAATTCGCTGCATTACTAGGTTATATTATTATCGATTATTTAGATAATTGTTAGTATGAAGTTGATTCAATAGTCTTAAAGGATTGGAGGACACTGTGTAGGTATAAAATCATAATAACCAAATTTCTATTCGAATTTACAGGTGTATAGAATGCAACCTCAATCTTATCGAGATATATATCGTCGTGTACTCATCAACAGAGTTTCTTATGGTCGTGGCAATACTGAAGAACGCGGTGATTTGTCTCGATTTTACAATGTTATATTTTTACCACAAATGAAAGACTTCATTAAAAAGGCAGCATCTGTACGTTCTACATATAATGAAACAGATCCTAATTGTCGAACAGGACATCATTCATTAGGCTCTGATTCATTATCAACCGATGATAACACTGTATTGAATCAATGGACGCTTCATCCATCATTATCCCCAATGCCAATTCTCGTAAACAATTTAGCTTCAAATTCTGCCGCGGCTCTCAATTTAGGTCTTGATCCAACAACTACATCGGGAGATATAATACAAGCTAGGTAAGTGAATAAATAATGTACAACAGCAATTGCTCACATTCCACTCGTTATTTATGCATATATGTGTGTACACTGGAATAACCAGTCTTTACTAAACTAATGGTTTCAAAACAATACTAGAAGACTATGACGGCATCATAAGGAATAGATAAGATTCGAAACATTCCTATCATCGCATAAACTTTTGAACTGTTAGTGCGATATTATGTTTATCAGGCTCTAATGAAAATGTATCGAGTTTTTATATGGCGACTGTTACACTCAGTGTTTGTTATTAATTTGCAATAAAAAACCATGTCTATGTTATTTGTTTATCTTATACTTCAGACTAATTATTTTAACTAAAGCTAATTTCTTAAAATTCATTCTAACAAATAAAGTTGTCCTTTGGTATGACTTGGGCGTTAAAGTTTTAGCCATTAAGTCAGCAATTCGAAATCCGCTCCACCTACTTCGGTCCAAACAACCTGGTGACCCGAAGTCAAATATTACGAATCTGTGTACCTGGTAGTGAATCAAGGCTGGAATATGAAAATGTATAAACACACGTCTTATTTATCGCATTTAAAACCAGTCAAAATGGATTTTTGTCACATTACTACAGTAAGAAATAATTTAGATTCTATAGTAACCACCTATCGTAACAACTGTCTACACCTATTCATAAAATTATCATAAATTCGTGCTAACTAGTTTTTTATCTTAAATTTTAGACGTTTAGCCAGTAATCGTAATATATTCATCAGTCCAGTTAAACAACAAGTAAACCTATCTCCCAAAAAAGTCATTTTTACAGTCGGCCGAAGTACTGGTAAAGATTTGCAAGATGTTAATCTAATGATAAGCTCTGCTGAACGTCGTGCATCAATGGCCAATTTAACAATGGGCTTAAAACGTCCAGCAGGTGGTGGCAGTACAACGACTACATATGTTGCTAATTCATCTCCATTCACAGTCACTTCTGGAACAAGTTCATCACGTACAGTTACATTAGTTGGACCAAGTGGATTCACTACAAAACGAATAGATTTTGATATGTGAACATTAACTCAATCGACATTGTATTATTATTATTACTGCTATTTTATTATACCTGCATTTTTTCTTTGAAAAAAAACAACAAAAGAATTGAACATTCACTAATTCATTGTTTTTTTAATTATCTTTGTGTTATTATCTGTGAATAAACAATATCTATATAAATTATACCAACAAAAAAACCATTACTTTTTGTTGTAAACATATTCTCATATTAAAGAATGATTCTTGTACATAGTAGAAATAATAATAATAATAATAGTAATAGTAATAATATTTAACTCTAGTATATTATTATAGCGTTTCTTGTATGCATAGTGTTTGTGTTGGTCGGTTATTATTATTGTTTGTCTTATTAATTGTTTTATCAGATCTAGGAGGGGGGGTATTTGTCTTATAATGATTTTTAATCTGTTTTCTTTAAAATGTGTTTTATTAGAATAAAAGGGAAAGAGCAATAATGGTAGTAAATCATAGTCTTTATAATAATAATAATAAAATCTAGGATTGCATTGCATAAAAGGTGGTTGGATTTACGAAAAAGTGATTTTTCACAGTGGTTTCTTTATGTTTATCTGCTTGTTCTTGTTCTCCTTCTACTGGAGATCGAGAACATTTTGATGCCCAAAATGGCGGTGATAATGCACTTGAAATTGATATGGGTGATATAGATAATTGATCTGTGTGTCGATGTTTTCGGTTTAATGGGAAATCACTAATATTTCTAGTGGCGCTTAAATCAGTTGGGCTATCAGATGTAGAAAGAGATTCTTGGTCTGTGGAGATTTCTATGTTTTCATTCTAAACAATGAGTTTAAATTGTGATAAAAAGAGTAGTTAGATTATGCAAAAATAATTAAATGAATAGTCAGTTTAACAACTAGAAATTAATTTTCATACCTGTAAGGAACATTTTTACTCAATGGTAATCAAATGTAGAGTCTAACGCAAAGGTCGCTAACAACAGAGACTAATCTCGTAGCAAGAGAAAGGCTTTCTATTAAAATTATATATGAAAGAATACTGAAATTCGAAATCTAGGGTAAGACGGATAAGATGCATTTGCGCTATTGTGACCGGTTCTGATGTGTTTCAATTAACATCTTGAACTAATGGTCGCGTGAACCCTAACTGAGTAGTCTAAACCTACTCAATTAACTCGAATCAGCAGTCAGTGGTATCATTCTCCCAGGTCACTACTACACCCGGTCGTCAAAGTAGGCGGTGTTTAGACATACTGACCTTTTCAGTGGGTGAATATTCGCCTCTCAACAGCCAATTCGTCACCATTCTAATTATTATCTCTTAGTTGGTCAAACTGTCTCAAGTCCCAGACGAGCCAAATTGGATAACTTGTATTGTTGAAGCTCCTCTGGTTCAGAACGCTGAATAATATCAGATAGTTTGTTATGTTATCAACACTAAGTACTTAAGCATTTTTTGGTCAGATCAGTCATAAGCGCCATAGGATTTGGGACATACGCAAACCTAGCGAAATTGCCACTAAATCGCTGCGAGATACAATTTTCAAAACAGATGACGGGATAACAGTAAAAGTAGTAATTGTAGCCGCGGTGGTAGAAATAAAAAAGATTAGAAATAGAGGTGATATGACAAGAAGAAAATGAACAAAGTAGAGGGTTTTTAAGATATAAATACTCAGGATTTCGGAGGAGTATTATATGCACCTATACCGTGTTCACAATAATTGCGCGGATTTCGAGCAGTTGACCACCTATTAACATAGTTCATTTCGACAGTAGATGGTTCCACGCCTTTGATTAGTCACCTTTAGTTTCCCTCTAGCTTATTCATACATTCGCATATATTGCGCGACGAATTAGGCGGTGGTTAAGGATTAAAAAAATATTTTGACCTAAGCTATAACTGGCGCATTGTACTAGGTTGTATGTTGATAACGACTGACTTGTCGCATCTTTTCTTCATAATAAAAATATATTCTAAATTTCTTAGCCTACCGACAAAAATAAATTGACTCATGAACTCAACTATTAAATTACAATCACTAGTGACTGGCTTCAAGAGCTATTTCCTGAAGTTGTAGTGAGAAGCCGTGACCAGTGGAGTACCACCAGGTCTGTTGTGTGATAACTCACTGAAGACAATAGCGGACGGTGGCGCAATTTCGTGGATTGGTTGAAGGTAGACATTAACACCGTTGGATGCCGGCTCAGTGGTCTATATGTTAAGCGCTCGCGTGTGAAACCGAAGGTCCTGGGTTCGAATCCCGCGAGCGTGGATGCCCACTGTTGAGGAGTTCCATGGTGGCCTAGCTTAAATTGACTCATGAAATCAACTGCCAATAACAAGTAAACTTACCTTTGTATTAATTGCATCGTTATCTGTAGATAATGTAAGATTGTTTAAATGTTGATGAGCTTTAACTAATTGAGCGGCTAGAAATAAATTATTTTTCCGAAATTCTTGATCAGATAATTGCCATAATTCACAAAATGCCGTTAATGATGATGGTGATAAGTTATCACGACCAAGATTAGCCAATCTCAGCCATTCTTGACTGTTGTTCAATGCACCCCAGTTGAAGTTTGATGATATATGTAATAGGGGTGACGGTAAATTATTATTGAAATCTGATGGAACTGACAATCTCGTAGTTAAACAGTGAGAATGTTCTTGTGTAGAATCTGATATATTATTTCCGCCATTTAAAATTTGGTTAAAACTTAAATTCATGTTAGAATTAATGTTACTGTTACTATGATTAGCAAGTAAGGCAGCTGTATCGAGATCATGTGATAAGATCATTGTACGTGTAGGTGGATCTGGTTGTAATTTCCTGTCATTTGAAAGTAAAAAGGGAAACAAACAATGGAAACTGGAAATAACAAAAAGTTCAAAGAAAAAGCACTTTAACTAAAATCATGATTTAACGAAAAAAATCCTCTATTCTTAATACATTTAACTTAATTTGTTTCGAAATAAACATATTGTCTGCTATGATGTTTTCATAGTGAAGGGAGAAAAAAAAACTGAACAGGGTACAAATGCTTTAAAAAAGATTTGGTTACACAGGAAAAATTTTTGTTTGTGAATTAGATTTAGGCGTAATCTGTCTATCAAACTTGTGATACCTAAATGTCCAAGCTCGAAAAAAGTTAATAGTGTATGCCATCATGTACATGTCTAGATACATCGTATATTTAGTATCTGTATGACATGTGTTTTGCACCTAAATGGAAAGTACTTCTGGGAAACTGGTGAGATCTGTGCCTACATCCACTTTTTATGGTGAGTAGTCAAAAACAATTGAATATTTCATGTTGCTGGATGGTATGAGTGCTGGTGGTGGCGGGAATAATCATATTTATCTACGTGTAGTTAAAGGCGTTGTGGCTTATATCAGCGCAAGACATAATTAGAGAGGCGTCACGATGTTAATCTTGCTGTAAATGGTCGAGTTTATAACGGATTTTTTTAGAGTAATTCACTTCTATGTTTATGAAACCCGGTATCTAAATTGCGAATACCGTTTATTATCTGTATTTGGTCATTGTTGTCTCTGAAGGATTGCTGACGTTTGGCAGGAAAATCATATTAGTAATGATGTGTTTTCGGTCACAGTTACAACTCATTTGGTTTCACCATCTTAAAACACCAGATTCGGTGACTTGGAAATGTCTTATGAATGTTGTCCCAGTGACTTGCACTTTGCGCATTATTCGCTGACTCTGAAACTTTGGGAAAAGTGGAGGTGATCAGTTTATGACAAAGTGCCGTGGTATAAAAGTGTGTTGTTCAGGACTGGCACCTGTTGTTACAATTAACTCATTCGCCAAGTACTTGGATATAAGCCATATTTTAAGCGTGAGAGTTAATGATGCTACCTAGTTACCCTAACCAAAATAAGTGAATCATGGTTCGAGACAGGGATTGAATTGTTGAAAACCGAACGCAATTAACAACCGCTCCATAATAAATGTACTTTATATATGATTAACTAATAACTCAGTTGTGATCACGACTCCTCAATTGAAGTCCTAAAGATAGCTTGAAATGTTGTTAGGTATGATACAGAAGAGAAGTTAATGGCAATCTTACTGAATCTCCTATTAAAAATACAATATTATTCATTTATTTACTGATTATATTACCCTTCTCTCTTTTATTTCTCGTTTATTTTTATGGTGCATACTTTCTTTTTTCGATAACTTTGTTGTACCAGAATGTATGTATGTATGTATATGAGGTAAATAAAATAAACAGGAGAACAATGTTCAAATTGATTTTAGCCTGTGGGATTACATCCATTTCACAATCGATTGGTTTTATACACACGACAGTGTGTCATATAGACTTTACAAGCAACCAATTTAAAAGAGAATCAATACGTTTAAAGTAATTCATTGAAATGGACAAATAAATCAATCAAGAGAATATTTTAATTGTGTATTATACTTGGCAGCTTGCTTAAATATCTAGGTTACCTGTTCCTACAATCTAGATATTTCAACAATTGATTTGTCTTTTTATTTGTTTTAACATATCATTATGTCTATGAATCGCATAACCTATTCCGGCGTGTATATGGAAAGTTTACGACCTTTCATTGTACAAGTCACAAAAAATTATAATCATCAGAGACATTGTGATGGCTGGCAGTATGGATTGATAAGAATGAACATTATTAAAACTCAAAAATTAAAGGGAGATAAAGAAAAATCACAGCCGTGTATTTCTTTTCAATATGATTATCTTCAACTACAACTAATATTAATAATTTCACTCAATGAATTAAACAAAACAATCTATACAGAATGAACCAGTATACATTTACGTATAACATTAATGGATTAGAGTTTTAAAAGTTACACAATTCTGATATACATAAAGGCATCATATTACATTATATACTCTCTCTCTCTTCCCTTAAACCAAGAGATTAAAATCCCTTCATATCATTCTTTCAACGTACTAAATTTTTCTTCCTGTAGTATTTCCTTATATGCAATCTTTCTTTTATATATTACCACCCTTGACTTAACTACTCTTATGAATCCAATGTTCATCTTGCTGTGCTAATGCGGTATGTCAACTTGGACCGATGCATATATGTGCCTGATCCTACGTTTTAGGCTGACTGACTGATCATATTACATACAGTACAATATAAATCAGTATTATAATATTCAA